CTTTGATACCACGCTTTAGTACTACCCCGTTGGTACCACCCCTGAGCAGAGCACTACCCCATGGTACCACCCCACCCCATGGTACCACCCTATGGTACCACGCCATGGTACTACCCCTTCGTGCCACCCCTAGGTACCACCCCTTGGTACCACCTCATGGTACTACCCCATGCCACCACCCCATGGTACAATACCCCTTGGTACCACCCCTTGGTACCACCCCTTGGTACCACCCCTTGGTACCAACCCAATGCTGGAGCATTTCGTCCAACGGGTGGCGCGGGCGCCAACCTGTTGTCCCCATCAATCGTAGCGCTGTCAGTCCAAGACGGATGCCCCGCCCTCTAGTGAGTCCCCGGCTCTGATTGGCTGCCGCTCTTCCTTCTGCCCGCAGGACCCGCAGGACTCGCCGCTGCTCGGGCCCGGTCGGCCGCCGCTCGCCAGCCCGGCTCTGAGGAGGCCGCTGAGGCCAGCGCCCGCTAGCGGAGCCCCACGATGGACCTAGCACTGGAGGAGGACGACGAACTGGGACACATGGACCAATTTAAGGTGAGTAACTTCAACAAACTTCAACGGGAGTCACCTCATCATTGTTTTTTTTTTTTTGCGGGCTATGGGTTTTGCCATTTAAAAGTTGAAAATCAGTCCAATTTTCGAACTTCTACCTTCATTATTGCTGTCGGAGCGTTGAAAAGAAATATCTAGTAGTTAGCGAGTCAGTCTGTATGGTGCCGTCGCCTATTGGTATCGCTAATCTGCACCAGTAGCTTTGCGTTTTGTTTTTTTAAATTTTGGCCCTAGGTCAATGGAAATATGGGCCCATATATCGTGAAATCACGACAACCGACTAGAGGGGGATGGAGAGGGAAAAGAGGAAGGGAGTGGGGAGAGTGAGAGCAGAGAGTGGGGCCGAAAGAGGCTGACATAGCGCAAGAGCCAGCCTCGCTCTCTGTTTGTGTGTCTGTCTCATTAATTGCCTTCCACAATCAGAACAGCAGCTTGCCATCGGCTGGCCTGCCCAGCTGGGAGCTCATGTGCCGCCGCGTCTGTCAGCCTGTCCGTCCGTCCATCCGTCCGTCCGTCCGTCCGTCCGTCTGTTCGCAGTAGGATGTCTCAAAATAAATGTTTGAGAACGGCTGGCGCATATGGTTCCCTATCTGGGAACGGCAACAGCCTGTGAGGTAGGCCGCGCGGACGCGCAGGTGTCGTGGGGTGGCCTACCCCGTACATGACAGGCGCTTAGGGGACTGTGGGGACAATGCTGGAGTCAAGGACGCAAAGCGAACACAAAGTGACTCGTTTTTTACGAACGCTGACCCCCCCCCTACCC